GCCTCTTTTTATAGACAATTTTGACCAATCACACTGGTTGAATTTTGCACACGGCACTAATGGATTGCACACGGCACTAATGATTTTCTGTCGACCAATCAGAGCGCAGGGCGATCTTTTCTAAGGGGAACTAACAAATGTCTTTTATTTTTGTGGTAAAACATCCCTTATAATGTTTTTGTACATTTCTGGTATTAGAACTAGTTTATATTTATTATATTAAACATTAAACATTCTTGAAATCCTTATTTTATACCTTTAATAAATAAAAATACTGAAGCGGTCTTTTCACGGTATAGTTCCCTAGTAGCTACTACACAGTACTACACACTAGTATACACGTACCCCCTCATACAGCACTAATGGAAACGGTGGAACCCCCAGAGCAAAGAGCAACCACCGGGGCGACTCTCCAACCTCCTGCCAACAACCCCACGAAGAGGCAACCCTCCCAAAGGAAGAGGCGGAGGAACAGGAGTAGAAAAACCGAACAGCCTCCTCCTCAGGCTGTGACCACCTCTACCCCTACTACAGGACCGATAGCCTCGCAGGCGCAGGTTACTGCAATACCACCACCAACAACCACGACAGGTAGAGCACCAGAGAGGATTCTACCAGAAAGGAGAGCCCGCTCTACATATAAAGCACGCTCTACCCAGATAGAGAGAGGACCACCATAAATGCCCCGAGACCAGTGCCTTCACAACGTAGTGTAGAACGTAGACCACCAACGTCCGGCTTCGTGACGGCTGATGCCATCCACAGATTGGTAGGCATAGCCATCGAAGTCGGCACACAAGTCCTGGCCGACATAAGGGCCGGGACAGATCCTATCACCGCCGTCATGAAGGCATTGGCAACACTACTGGCAAGGCACTACGGAGGACAGTAACCTGCGATTGCTTTACTGGAACCCGGACGGGATTCGACAAAGGATCCATGAACTCCGCACGGTCGCCCAGCAACAGGACATCCAGGTGATCTTGCTGGGTGAAACCAAATTACGATCAACAACGCATCTTAAGCTGCTTAATTACACCATCTACAGGAGGGACAAGGTCGATCCTCAAGGGATCGCTTATAGAGGGACAGCGATTCTGGTGAGAAGAGACATCATCCACCAGGAGTTGGACCTACCAGACTTTCAGACGATGCGTTCAATCTGCATAAAAATGGAGGCGGCGGGCGAGGAGCTAAGGATCTTTGCAGCATATCGCCCGCCAGGGGCTCCATTTCACTCCTGAGACATCCAGACGGTAATGGAAGGTACGGCACCCACCATCATCGCCGGGGACCTGAACGCCAAACACCCGGTGTGGGGGTCCAGAGTGATCACCCCGCCGGATCGTGAACTATACGACGACGCAGAAAGCCATAATTATGACGTTCTAGGTCCCGAGGAACCGACGCACATCCCTACTGACCCTAGGAAGCGTCCGGATGTATTAGACATCGTGCTCACTAGGATCGTCAACTACCCAGTAGTGGTGGAAGTGCTGTACGACCTGAATACACAGCACCTCCCGATTCTGATAACCCTTGGCACTAAGGCAGTGACATCGCCGCCCAGAGCTGTTAAGACCAAGATCGACTGGAGGCTCTACTACCAACACCTGCAGGAGAGACCTCCAGTCCATGCACCGATCAACTCAGCGGACGACGTAGAGGCCGCTGCAACTAGAATAACCACGAGCATCCAGGAGGCCCTCAACGTGGCCTCTACGATCATCCCTCTCTCGGGGAGAAAAGAGGAGCTGCCGCTGAGAATACACGTGCAGCTAAATCACAAAAGAGCGCTGAGAAAGCTCTTGGCGCGCACTCGCTGCCTTAGAGTAAAAAGAAAATTGAACACCTTATCAGAAGAACTGTCGGTTGCAATACAGGCCCACAGAGGAGAAGCCTGGGAGCGGCGCATTTGGAAGGCTGATGAACATCACGCGTCGCTCTACAAATTGAACCGGCAGTTAACGAAAACTCGACCACCTGTTTGCCCGCTGACCAACAACGCGGACGAACAACGTTACGATGCCAAGGGCAGAGCGGATATCCTAGCTGAGCACTTCGAGGAGCAGTTTATGTCGAACCCAGCAAGTGCGGAGTTCCTGAAAATCCACACCCGGAAGAAGAGCCGCGTGCAGGAGCTCCTGTCGTCGCCCGCGCCGCCGCTTGCAGGAGTGTGGTTCATCTCCCCCGCTGAACTGCGGAGGACAGCAACCCGCCTGCAACCGAGGAAGTCGCCGGGGCACGATGGGAGATTACTAACGCTGCACTGCGACAGCTGCCCAATAGAGTCCTTGTAGAGATAGGTCGGCTCTACAATGGCATATTGCAGACATCCCACTTCCCGGAGGACTGGAAGAAAGGCAAAATCATCGTCTTGCCGAAAGCCTGGAAGGACAGGCGTAGAGCTGCCAACTACAGGCCAATCACGCTGCTACCGCATATAGCTAAGCTGTGCGAAAGATTACTGCTAAGACGTCTCCGCCCGTGCATCCAACTTCGGGCGGAGCAGCATGGATTCAGGAGGGATCACCAACAGCAACACAGCTGACCAGAGTGCTGCACCTGCTTGCGGCCGAGCACAACCGCGGCCGCACATCGTTGGGCGTCGTTCTCGACATCGAGAAGGCGTTCGACCGGGTGTGGCACACAGGATTACTCTATAAGTTAGACGATCAGACTAGTATCCCTCCTGCTATATTGCGGCTAGTGGCGTCCTTCCTCGTAGACAGGAAGTTCTACGTCTGTGTAGAGGACGCCGAGTCCGCAATAAAACCCATAACAGCTGGTGTGCCACAGGGCAGCTGTTTGTCTCCAGTCCTGAACGCGGCTTACACCAATGACATACCAACCCTGGCAGGACACTTGCACGAATGGGAGGACGACGTTGAACTAGCGCTTTTTGCGGATAACAGCGCATACTTCACGTCGTCCAGAAGAGCCCATATTGCAGCTGCCAGGATGCAACGTCTGCTGGACCTGCTGCCACCATGGTTGGATGAGTGGAGGATGGCCGTCAATGTTAGCAAGACGACCGCTCTGTTCACTCGCCGCTATAGAAATCTACCACCACTGCTAACCCTCGGAGGCCAGGAGATCGCATATGAGAAGCAAGCAAAGGAATCGCATATGATCTACCTTGGATGCCAGATCGACAGAATCGAAAGCTCGATGTGCGCGGGCAATGCTCCGCCCTGTCCTGACATCCAAGTTACCGACAAAGTCGAAGTTAACCATCTACAAAACGTACATAAACCTCTGCTAACATACGCTGCTCCGGCCTGGTATGCACTCCTGAGCGATCATCAGAAGCGGCGACTTCAGGCCCAGCAGAGTTTGTCATTACGAACCTAGTCGGTGCGGGTCGCTACGTCCGGAATGACGTCATAGCGGCCAACCTAAAGTTAGAGAGCCTACAGGAATGCGTGGTCCGGCTGGCGGGCGGTATGTTCGACCGCGCCGATAACGGGCCACATGAACATCACAACGGCTTCGCGTCGTTGCACTCACGGCCGCCGGACGGGCGACCCTATCCAAGAGAACTCCTCCCTATATAGATTAGGGAGGCGAGTAAACCCCACAATGCCGCAGAAAGGCCAACTTTGACAAAATAATTTGTGTTTGAACACAATTATATAGATAACCCCTTTTAATGAAAATTTTACCCGACTGCGACAAAAGTCGCTAAATACATCACGCCTTTACCACGAAGGCACCCAGGACCGGCACATTGCAGAGTGCCGTGAGGAACATACGGGTAAAGGGGTGTACCCCAAGGCCCGAGACCTGCATGGCATTATGCCTTGCAGGAGACAACGACGAGTACACGTAGCGCTGCCAGGCGGCAGGAATGCACAACGCTTATAGTGATAACATTACGCTTAATCTTAAGAAATTATGCAGAGTACATTTGAATTTGTTTATTGACTGAGATCTATTTTTATAATAGAAAACGAAATTATACAAGTAGTTAAATCACGTATTGTCGTAGTTTTTAAATTACAATAAAAACAGAATTAATACAGTATCGCATTTACACTTTCGTTGCTAGCATTTCTAATGTAGTTTTTTAGATTATAAATATGAATAAAGTTAAAATAAGTAATTAGATTCATATCTCATTTCTCACATTTCTAATAAATTTAAATAAGTAATTAGATTCACATTTCGTTACTAACACTAACATTCTTTACGTAGTTTCAGATCACAAATAAGAATAAAATGGAAATAAGTAATTAAATTCACTTTTCTTCGCTAACAACTACTATAAATTTGTAATTGGCATCTACCAAAGCCAAGAGCACTATGGAATTTTGACCTTTGTAGTTCCAATAATCTGAGCCACCATTAATTAGACACTTCATGTTTATGTGTTTTCCATCCAGAGCGCCAATGCAATTTGGAAAATTCCAAAAGCGTTTGAAATCAGTGGCTACTTGTTTCTACATAACTTCTGTTGGTTGCGGCAACACAATAGGACCAAGATGTTTCCAAATCGCTTCACAAACCTCCTTCATTATTGTTCGTAAAGTAGGAAATCCCATGCGATAACTAAATCCCATACTTCGAAATAATTACCCGAAGCCAGGAATCTATAACATTTAATACAAGTTCTTAAATTTTTGAAATACAGGCTTTAATCTTTATTATAGTTACAGTTGACGAGTGCAAAGAAAATTGGAATAAGTTGCGTAATTGCTATAATAATGCTATGAAACGGCGCCAAAAGAAAAGTGGCCAAGCTGGAAAAAAAATTGCGCCGTAGCGGTTTGAAGAACAAATGTCATTTTTGGAGCCATATTTGGAGGGCCGTCCTACTACAGGAAATCTTGATGCTAGTGTGTCTAATGAAAATTCCGTCCTCCTCTTCCATCCCCGGAGAGTCCATACGCTGAAAGCCAACCATCCCCTGAAAGCATACCATCCCGCACCAATACTCCTACGTTGATACATCATACAAAAGAAAGGCAAGTCCCAGTACTTATAATTACTTGACTGATATGATGGATATGGTGAAAAGCTCTCAAGAAAATAGAAATAAAAAGCAGGAACTGGATGATCTAGATACATTCTTTCTAAGCATGAGTAAAACTATGAAAAAACTCCCAAGACTGGATCAAATTCGAATTAAAATGGATTTGCTTAAAGCTATAAGTGAAGCAGAGATCAAACCACTGGAGTCACAAAAAAATGTTTTGAGAACAACAATTGCTATTAGGAGTGACAGAAGCAGCCTAAACCGCCATAATGTAAATTCTACTTCTGGGAATTTGGTACAACCCCACATTTCATATTCTTCCTCATCCCAGTTTATCTAAGCGGCTAATGATGATGAAGAAACTGGTGAGGTCGAAAATATTCACTGTTATTACGAAAATATCAATATTTAGGTAATAAAAACATTCTTAACCATTATTATTTGTATTATTTTCTATAGTACCTAGCATAGTTATCTCTGCAATAGTAAAACAGCTAAAACATACCGTAGACAAACTGCTAGCCGTTCTCTGGTACTAATTGGCTTCCGAAGACGTGTATTTTCTTTTTAATGTCACATTCAATAATACTATGAATCTCCTGAAACTGTACTTTAGACATATAGAAGTACATAAAGAATCGGTCTTCATCACATACCAATTTCTTTAATAATGTATAGTATTCACCTAGATTTTCTCTTTCTTTATTTATCTCATTGAACCCAATATCTTTTCTTCTTAACTGTTTTTTTTTTTGTTCTTTTGGCGCGGAAATATACATTTAAAAATAACAAACGTAATAAATCACTGTCAGACTCGGAAAACATTGTACACCTGAAGAAATTACAACAGCGTCTGATGCCAATATACGTCGTATACGTGGGACAAGTGTGCACACCAAGTCACCCACGTTGCGTTGTATACGTTGCGTACGTGGGCTCAGTTTGTCCCTACCTTAACCATATCATCTCGTGAGTCTCGTAAGAGGCGACTAGACGGCGAAAAGTGTTATTTTTAATTAACCGTGACCGTAGTTCCAATTACAAAAAAGTCACAAGTGAAAAATCATTGTGACTTAGTCACGTTGATAACGCTGAATAACAAATTGGAACATTAGAACGACTTATAACGTGACTTAAATATGCTTTTTAGATTTAGTATAAGGTTTTATTTCAGTAGTCGATTTTTTATTACCTTCCTTACTAAAGCTACGAACGTGACTATGTTATAAGTACCATTCTAATTACTATTTTTGAAATATACGAATTTCACCTAACCTAGCTGATCAGACGCTTGAAACTGAAACGAATGGTCTTGTCCTTCATCTCACGCCGTAAGATCCATCAACCAGTTACTGGCCTCTTTCCTATGCCACACCTCGTTGGGTTCGGGAATCAACGCGGGGAGCGAGACCCCTGATAAGACGTTCGTCTTAGAACCTTAACCGCTCTCTCAAAAGAAAATGTTTGACTAAGATTACGGGCCCCAAAGAATGATTCCGGTCCAGACGTGTCATGAACTTAGTGAACTGTATATCTTCTTATTTCCTTACTTATATAGGGGGGACACTGAATAAATAAAACAGCAATTATATGTAACTATGGAAATGTTATACTAGAATTTCACTAACTTCACTATTTTTACTTTACTTTTACTAATTACGTTTTCTTTCTTGGTTTAAAGTTGGAAACTGTAGCTGGTCCCGGATGAATTGAATCTGGTTTCTGATGATGTTAATGCTGTTAGCCTTTTGCCTTTAGCCTTTGTTAGCTGTTTTACAGCCTTACAGATCTCAGGGCCGCGAGCTATAAAAAGGCGAATTAAAATCATTCCGCAACATTACTTGCGTAGGGATGACTTTTATGACAGTGTACATTTCACAGGGGGTAAGTATTCTAAAGGCCGTCCGAGGAGAAGTTAGTGGGTCCTGGCTCTGACGGCTAGCTCGTGTCGATGAATGTTCTGGGCGGTGAGAACCGCCCAGGGATGTGGATGTGTGATGTATATGTGGTGTGGAGGGGTGTGCGGCGTGCTCGTCTGCGGACTCGCTGTGTCTCATCCGTTGTCCTAACAGTGTTTAGGGCGCTAGGTGAATGTGTAGTGTCTATATAGTGTGACGGGTCAGTGACATTTGTGTCGTCGGAATCAAGCGGAACTGAGGATTCAATTAAAACGTCACCGAGCCTCCGGAGGCTTTGCTTAACGTTTGCAGTTGGAGCGTAGGTTGCTGCGTTTATTACTAGCGGGTTGGGATATGTCTCAGCGCTCTCAAAGTAGCGCCGAGTCATTTCGTTGAAATATTCAGAGATCGTCAGAAGTTGACGTTCTCCGTGCAAGTCCGCGATGCGAATGAATCTTTTTTGGATGACTTGGAGGTCGTACAAATATTTATGAACCGGGTGTGCGAAGGCTATGCTTGAGTATGACAAGATAGGTATTACGCAAGCTTTGTAGAGGTGGAGCTTGTATCTAAGGGACAGTTTGCTCTTAATGTTAACTAGCGGGTGGAGGCGACTAGTAACGGATTTAGCACGATTGTGAACGGTACGAATATGTTTCGAAAAGGCCATGAAGTAGTCGAATGTGACTCCTAGGTATTTTGCAGTTGATTTCCAACTTATTACGATTTCTTAAATTTACGCGAACACTACACATTGAATAAAAGTATTATTTACGGATTTAATCGCGTTTAATTAAACGCGATAAAATCCGTAAATAATAGTTTTATTCAATGTCCAATCATTTCTATTTCCTTACTTTCATTAACCAATTCCTGTCTTTTAACGAATCCTATGTTTTTACCATCTATAGAATCAATTTTTCCTGCTATATCCTCATACCAAAGACTATAAGTAAAATGAGATCGTTTAGCAGCAGGAGCATAGTTTAAAAGGGTTTCCATGTATGCTCGATATGCATAGGTATTACTAGGTGGTGTTTACAAGTTTTTGGTTTAAATAAACAGCAAGTTGACTATAAAGTGAATGCAGCCAATTATTTACAGGTGCTACTACTGTAGACGATATCAAGTTATTTAAAACTTGATTTAATAGTTTTGTCTTTATGTGGAGTAATGTATGAGACAAATCTATGTAGTCATCGCCTGTCCCAGGAACTTGAAACTCGATAGGTGCATTATCAGCAAGAGACGAAATTGATTTATAGTGAATCCACAATCCATTTTCAATGCTTGTTTGTGTAGGCGGTAGTGCAAACAAATCCAATTCTGACTTAACGCACTCACGAAAATATATCTTTGATATTTTTTGGTTTTAGACCGAGTTTTTTCACAGCTTTCACTTTAGTAGTTAATGGCGGAATGAACGAGGCCAATCGTTTTCTTTTAGTTATATACCCAGATCCCCTCATTTTAAATGGATCAATTTTGTCATCAGCCTTTCGTTTAAATTCGTTCTAACTTGCTTTAGAAGATCTTTTATTGAGGCTTCTATAGAACGCGCTCGAACTATATCCGATGAAGTTCATACTCCAGCGCTTAATGCCTCCTTGCCAATCACACGAGCACCACTTGAAATTAAAGGTAAAACTCATCTAAATCTATACTTATCTAAAAAAGGGAGGTTCCCTTTTTTAGATGGGAGGCTTTGTTATGGTGAACCCTTATAAATTACTCCAACGCCCGACCTAGCTGGATGTATATAATAATTTTCATATGGACATTTATGTTGATCACGATGAGAATTCATTATTATAATTTTTGGAAATGTAGTTTAATACACACGTTTCCAAACTGGAATAGTATTTTTGTCCTGTGCGATCTTATAAATATTTTCAGTGTATCTAACTCTCTTCGCATAACAGGTAAGAAATGAGGTGAAGAGGAAACATGCATTTCATTTGAACCATAAATGTATTTTGTATAATTTAATAAAATGACTCTTAGTAAAGGAGTCATAACATCACCCACAATCTGAGGATCGATAATGTCGCAATATAGAAAGAGTTGAGATGGTAACCCTAAGTGTAAATTAGCAGGACACTTTCCAAAATTTCTCTCTAGGAGATTTTTATTTGGTTCATAACCTAGTTGTAAACTTAATTTGGGTGATAATGTTATGGATGATATATTTTTATCCAAAACAGAAACAGACACAATTTTTTTTATTTGGTAATAAGTTTGTAGATTTCAGCCCTGTGTCTGCTTGTGACGATGATGTCTGATTTAAGTTTTCTTATTTACTCCTGTCTTCATTGTAACTAATTATAGCTATATCATTTTATATTTCGGCAAAAATATCGCGTGCCTCTTACAAGCAGCGGGAAAGTGTTAGAACTTATGGTGGCGCATCCCAATTTTGCCAGAAATCAGGCCGCAGGCGCAGAAGCTGCCCGCGAAAAAATGAAACCGTAGGTTGAACTATTATTGACTCTATGTATTACTTTATTATTACGACTGAAAAACTATTTGATATGTATAAGTAGTAGAATAAGTAAATGTTCATGGTTATAGTTTTTAAAATTTTAATAATATATTATAATTGTTTATCACAAATCACAATGTAGGATCCCGCACGGAACAAGTATTTGTATGGCCTACAAGTAATTGTTCCGGGTCTGGATGTTTGTCCTTGTGCAATTTATTTTTGTAAACTGCCCCCACGATACAGGAGAAAATCCTAGTGTAGGGTTTTTTTTAAATAAAAAAAAATAAAAAATGTTGTCATGTAACAGTAATAAAGCATAACAGAATATGTAAATGTTCATAGTTATATTTTGTAAAACTTTAATAATATGTTATAATTGTTTGTTGAAATGTTGATATGTAACAATAATAAATCATAACAGAATATGTAAAGATAATGATTTCTTATATTTACGCGAACACTACACATTGATTAAAACTACTTTTAAGGATTTTATCGCGTTTATTCTACTATTATTATTATTTTTTTTTATTTTTAATTCCCGACGTTTCGGGCGATTTCCAGCACCCATGGTCACGGGGGACTGAGATGACTGACGTCCCAATGTCATTGTTAAATTCGGAATACACTGCCCGAAATTTGTGCTCTAAATTATAGAATTTACAATTGTTTACGGTCACGACTATAAATGAAAAAAGTATGTAAACTGACATGTGACAGTGAGCCTACGGCGCTGCCTCATCGAAATTATGTAAATAATGTTGTTTAATGTTGAAAACAAAAATCTACCCCATATCGGATCGAAGTAACACACTGGATAACTTTTGAAGACAGAAATGAAAATAAGATTTTTTTCCACTAGCATTGTATTATTGCAATAATTTATACATTATCACACGGCATCTTTATTGCTTTCAAAGTAAACTACAATTTTAAAACCATAATGCTATATTATTT